ATGGCGGATTGGCGGCGTGGCGGGAAGGGGTTTAAAGAAGCGTAAACCAGAAGGCAGCGCGGAACGATCGTTTCCGAGCGATTGCCAGATCCAGCAGGGAGAGAACACTGCTCGCTTATATACGTATAGAAGCTCCGATGTTTGCCTCGACGTTGCCAAAAAATACAATGACCCAAATAAGACAAGTTGCGCTCGTTCGTCGATACTCCGTGCCGCGATCCCTCTGAAACTGTTTCAGCGAAAAGTGAGAACGGTATCGCGATACTTATCTCGTGGAGAAACTCTTAACATAAATGTATAAAATATACATTGGCAGTTTTTGTTTTTCGAACTGTATGTACATTCAAGTAAATTTGTATATTCCAAGTATGGAGCCACCAAATATATTTCAGAGGTATTTTACGTGCTCGAAAAATTCAGTGACCCCATAATTCCTTGAGTTTCGATTTTCTGTTACACGTCGTTGATATTTTTAACGAAACGATCACCATACTATCTCTTGAATTTATTTCTTTTCTTCTGAAACTAGCATTTAAACAAAATATAAAAAATAGATATTTAAAGTAGATTGTTGATCGTCGAGTAACACGAAGTATCATAGTTTTTCATATTATGTCATTCTGCCTACCGTAATTTAAATTTTAATTTAATTTCTTTACGAAACAGTTACTAATAGTTTTCATACTGTGCAATTCTCACTTAAATTTTGCACAAAGTAGTTTACTCCAGCGATACAAGTTTGGATTTTACCCCTTTCTATTGTTCCCATCATATTATTTTAGTCACTTGCGTTACTTTTTGTAATATTCCTCGTAGTTAATAATATTAATATCTGAGAAATCTATTATTTGTTTTCTTATACAGGGTGTTCGGCCACCCCTGGGGACAATTGTAATGGGCCATACTTGAGGGCAAAATAGGACGAAAATCAAGAATACCAATTTGTTGATGGAGGCTTCGTTAAAAAGTTATTAACGTTTAAAGCTCCGCCCGTACTGAATTTTTTTCTCGAAAGTGTGTAGGATTTGGAGAGTATGTCTATTAACCAAAACTGATTATAATTGACCCCTGCAACCAAAAATAATTTTTTTAGAACAATTCGAAATTTTTTAATTTTGTCAAAATATTTCACACCTTCTCGAATTTCTTTCTAGAAAATGGGTACGATTTCAGGGGTATGTCTATTGACCAAAAATGGTTGTAATTAACTCCCCAACCGACAATAATTTTTTCAAAACGATTTGAAAATTTTTTTTCGTTGAAAAATTTAGACACCTACCCCTGTCGATTTTTCTTAAAAGTTCGTTTTTCATGTGTATCTAATTTGTTTGATATTGTACAGAAAAGTTGTCTAATACTTTTTTGTAGGTATCCATGAGCTCTACATACATACTAAATTTCATTGAAATATATTTACTATTGTAGGAGTTATGGTAGTTTGAAAATTGGACCAGTTTCATGGGGTTTTTCTCACTTTACGGGGTCAAGGAACAACTTTTTGAATATTGTTAGAATCTTCACCAAAATACACGTTGATTGCATGTTGAAACATTAAAATCGTCCAATCCGTTCAGAAGTTATGATGTTTTAAAGATTCGCAAGAATCCGGGGTACATTTTTGACCAGACATTATATTTTCATTTAGGAATTTTTTTCTCGAAAGTTTGTAGGATTTGGAAAATATGTCTATTGACCAAAACTGATTGTAATCGACCCTTGCAACTAAAAATAATTTTTTTAGAACGATTTGAAATTTTTCAATTTCACCGGAAATGTTCAGCTTCCTGAATTTTTTTCTGGAAAGTGCGTAGGATTTCGAAGGTATGTCTACTCGCCTAAAATGATTGTAATTGACCCCTGCAACCAAAAATAATTTTTTCAGAACGATTTGAAACACATGAAATTTTAGGGGAATCATTCATCTATGATTAGACATTATATTTTCGGTAACGAATTTTTTTCTCGAAACTGGGTAGGATTTCGGGGGTATGTTTATTCATAAAAAATGATTGTAATTGACCTGCGCAACCAAAAATAATTTTTTCAGAATGATTTGAAATTTTTTAATAATTTTTTAACGAAGCCTCAGTCAAGAAATTGACATTCTTGATTTTCGTCTTATTTTGGCCTCTAGAATCTACCACTAAAATTTTTCCCAGGGGTGACCGAACACCTTGTATGTATCATAACATATGGCAGCTAGTATGAAATATTGATTTCACGTCTTTGTACAATGGTATTTCGAATGTTTCGATACTAGAAGCTGACATTGATCTTGGAAAAAGATTTCGTAAAATGCAAAGTCTTTGCTTTCGCATCCTATCCTTGGTATATTCGTAGGTCAGGGCATTCGTGATCAACGACACGTAAGCTTGTTGAACAAACGAGATAATTGATAGTGCTCCTATAATTGAAAGCCTACTCTACCACTTCTCTCGACAGTTAAAGAGGAAGTCTCTTGTACGAGGATGAAAGGTTGGGTTGACTTCCTATATTTTTTTTCGAAACCCTTGTATCTGATTCGCTGTGCGCAGTGTGCGCGTTTAGCATCTTAATTCTCTGGCCAGTGCTTTTAACGGAGATGTAACGAGTTGATTCGAACGAAGAACACGACGACGTAGTATCATGTGCCTTTCTCATATTTTTATAGCATTATTCGTCCCGTAAAAAATTAATCAAAATGATTAACATTTATTGTTTCGCTTTATTGTCAAATTCGGTAGCCGATCTAGACACCCAAAGTTCTGTAAATTAATGATCGTGAATGAAATTCATATTAGCAAAACATTTCATTTTTTATATGTTTTGCATAATGGAAAAATATAACCGTTTAATTAACTTTGAATAATTTTGTCCTATTAGCTATTAATCATTTTTTTTTATTATTATGGGGAATGGGGCGTAATAATTGTTTTAATTTTTTTATTACATTAATTGTCACACGAGTTATTATTAATTTACAATGGTCATCAGAAATTAAATGTTGATGGGGTAGACATGTTTTCGTTCAAGATTAAAATAAAATAATGGATATTAATGCAAATGAATTTTTCAGTTTTACCTTTCTATCATTGCCAATTTCTAAACAGGAATGTTTAATAAACAGCTTTACAGAGAAGCACACTATTTTTCGAAAATAATTAGTTATTATTTATAAATACAAATAAAAAATAGTTAACGTTATAAAATGCATAAATATTATTTGTTAGCAATTTATGTTGAATTTAATGTAATGATATGAATATATATTTTGATTGAAATAAACCCCATATTTTAATGTAACAATGTTTGTGAATCTAGTGTTGAAAATTTGATTTTACAAAGCACTGGACGCGTTCGTTCAGTGTATCAAATCTAGTGACCAAATAATTTAATTACTTAAGGGAGTAAACGACTCGATTGGGATACTTGCAGAGAGAAATTTCAAGTATACAATTTAGTATGCTTCTTCCGCTTGAGAATGACGATCAGTGAGGTGTATTCGGCAGACAAGGTCAATGAGTAAGCTTGCTACTTATGCGTGGACAGCATTCGAATTACGATTTTGGCTCGAATTTTCTGTACAGAATGATCCAAAGTACAGCAATTGAAAAATATACGGGCTTATAGTAACCCGTGAAGTAGAGAAGAAACGTCTGATTAACATCTTCAACGTATGAGTAAAGGAGCAATTATGAGCAAGGAAATAACTTGATGTTAAGATTAATTATTTCGTCAACCTTACAGCCTTTGGAGTAGATCTTAAGAATGTTGAAATGTGCAGTTAAAACTAGCTCACACAGAGTTATAAACACAATTTGTTGATATTCTGTAATGTGAAAAACCAAATATACAAAGAAAATCATTAAATAAACAAGATACGTATCTTCAAACGATACACATCATAAGATGAGCAGAGATAATTCCAAAAAAATCACGTTTTAAGGTCTTACGAAATAGCTCTATTTCTTGTGTATCATCAACGCGATTATACTAACCCAGCTTAATGTCCGTATTAAAATAAAACTATTGAACTCGTACTATTTTTCAAATCAAATCATCAAAAGTGAGTAATGAAAAAAACCATTTATTAACTTACTTCAAACGCGATTAAAGCAGAAATAATTCGGTTAAGGAAATTGGATTAAAATTGTTTGGAAAAGCAATTCTAAAGTATGTTCAGTATGATATTAAAAAAGTTATCAGGTTGTTGTTCGATAATAATCTCCCAAGAAGATATTTCTTGATAGAATGTTAGACCCTGCAGCAAGGGGAATGAAACTCCATTGTTATCAGTTCTGAGTGTACTAGAAAAAAACTGTTCATAAAAATTTGGATGAAACATCTGTTTTGCAAAGTAGTCCTTGAAACAATTAATTCCCAAATTTTAACTAGAGATTTTCGTAAATTTTTTAGCCCTCTTTTGCATTGCACCCAGTTTACCGCGAGAATGAAGCATCCTGTAACAAAATTCGAGTCGTCGTGCGTCGACTGTCGACAAAATTTGGACTAAATCGATGACCCGAATGTCGTACAGTCCCCTCGTTAGTTAAATTCTTCACGCACGATGATTCATCTTAACCGTCTTCCTTCAATTGCCTTCACAGACTGCCTCCATTTTCTGCTAGCGTAAAGCGTAATGCAGCGAAACTCGTTTAAAGCGTTTCTTACTTACATAATAAGTTTATTCGAACGACTCGGTTTCACGGTTCTCATTTCTCTTTTAGCGACCAGCGATTAAACGCAGCGTTTTGGCGAACGTTGGAAACCAAACGGCGGCGTTCGTTCCCCTTAGAAATCGCGGTATTTTAGCGCGTCTCCATTTTATTTGTCGCGCTTTATAAATGTTTCACGGGCTTGTACGAAAGTGGGTTAAAAATACGAGCGTTGATTTCGTAAACGTAAACATTTCATCTGGCGTTTAAATCCGTGCGTTACGGCACCGAACATGTTTTAATAGAATTTTATTCCAGGCTTGCACGAGCATCGACAGAGATTATTAAATTTTTTATTCGACACAGGGATTAGGATGTAATCGAACGGACGATTTCAGTACACCGGTCAGCTCTGGCAGCAACATGGGCAGTATAGCACGGTTTCCAAAATTGGACGAGTGTGCCCACTTTCATTACGAACACGTTGAACTCAGTTCCTTGGAGGTCAGTTACAAACTCATTTTTAACTTTCTGGTTCTACCAAACACTTTGTTCGTTTATTTAATTTACGACGTAGACTGATTTTCAATTAAATTAATAGTTTAAAAAATGGTACAGTTTACAAATTCATTGTCTTGCGTAGAAAATTTCAGTTTAACCCCTCAGGTATACGAGATCCATGGCATCGTGTAAATCTTAAACCACCGTACGTCAACCACATTTTTCGTAACAAACATTTTTAAAAAATACAAATAAATATTATATTTGGTACGTCGTGACTTTTCAATTATTTTCCCTTATTATTTTCGACGATGTAGACTGAAAACTAGACTGTGTGAACGCCCGAAATACTGAAAGTTCTGAAACTTCGAAAGATAGGACACGAAAATGTTCAACTTTTGGCATACCTGAGGTGTTAAATGTTATTCTTTTGAAAATTTCAACGATAAATTATATTAGAGTAATAGTATCTGATTGGTAAATTTATTAAAAAGGAACTAGAAGTATTCGCGTTGCACGTCGTGCATAAATAAAAGAGAAATTAATATGCTTGCAGGTTACACTTAGCGAAGGTTCGAATGATTCAGACAGCTACGCGGTTAGAGTAACATCTGGAGATGCATGCTGGACCCTGCAACGATCTTATGATAATTTTGTTATGTTTGACAAGCAATTGCATCGCTGCATATTCGACAGGAAGTTTTCTTCCTTGACCAAGCTTCCGGATGCACGGCCAAAAAACACCTGTGATATACTGAGGGACTATTTGAATAGATTCTCGCAGTTAAATCACGAAGGCCTAAATTGCGGTCCTGTGTTAAATTGGTTGCAGCTAGATAATAGAGGAAGAAGAATACTTGTGCCAGAGTCAGATTCATGCCCTATTAACACCCCTGCGGTAGCGGCAGCTTACGCAGTGAGACCTTACGTGGCTCAGGCACCGGATGAGATCTCCTTTCAGGTGAGCTTTTAGTTTCAGAAATACAAAAGAAGATCAGATACTGCTCAAGGTAATTAGAGGATCATGTTACTGGACGATTGAAGGGAATGAACCATATTCCAAGAATGATAGGTACATTTAATACAGTAATACTTCTATCGAATGCCTGACTTACATACTACCTTGAACCTTTTAAGGTCTGAATACGTTAACGAGCAATATCATTTGAGTGACTGATCTTTCATTATTTTGAGCAGTGTATTTTTGTATCATAAGAATGATTAACGACGCTCAACAACGGTTTAATTTAAATTGGATTGGTGGGTTCCAGGTTGGGGACATGATTTCTGTAATAGACATGCCTCCGCCAGGGGAAAGCACATGGTGGCGCGGAAAGCACGGTTTCGCTGTTGGGTTTTTTCCAGCCGAATGCGTGGCTGTAATTGGGGATAAAGTTCCACGACATCTGACCGTGTCGACGACCGTCAGATCGAAACTACCGGTGAAACCAGTGCTCAGGAAGCACGGGAAATTGATCGCCTTTTTCAGGTCTTTTATACTGAATAGACCGTCCAGGAGGCGATTGAAGCAGTCTGGAATCTTGAAGGAGCGTGTATTTGGTTGTGATTTAGGGGAACATCTTTTGAACTCAGGTCAAGATGGTACGTATGCTCCACCATTATTCTTAATTTCGCTAGCGATTCGTTGGCGTTCTTAACAACGTTTCTCAATTGTTTTAGTGCCTACTGTTTTAACGTGCTGCGCCGAGTTCATCGAGAACCATGGCTTGGTTGATGGCATATACCGTCTAAGCGGCGTGACATCGAACATTCAGAGATTACGAAACGCGTTCGACGAGGATCGTGTTCCTGCATTGCATTCCGATGAAAGTATTCTACAAGACATTCATTCGGTGGCGTCGCTATTGAAAATGTACTTCAGAGAACTACCGAATCCACTCTGTACATACCAACTTTATTCTACTTTCGTTACCGCGGTTCAGGCTAACACCGACGCGGAAAGGTTAAGGCGGATGAGGGATACCGTTAGGAAATTACCACCACCTCACTATAGGTAAATATATAGAGAAAATGTTTATTTTGTTAAATCTGTGGTATAGTCCGGGCCACGATATAGCGAGGTCGTAAACTAAACTCTTGAGGGTTGGGACCGACTACTGCTGTGGCACTTAGGGCCATACATGACATCTTGCTTGAGGGTGCCTTTTTGAATGCCTTTCAGTATCCGTAACTGTACTACCTTTTTAAAATTTTAAGACTTTCTAAAAATGGCGACACTGGATAAAACATTTCTTCGTACGGCCTTGACCAGGATCTAAGGCCCTTAGCTGCTCATATTTCTGTCAATTCACTTGTTCCAAGAGCTGAAACGTGTAAACTTTGACACCTACTCGAGCTTACGAGTTCGCTATATCGTGGCCCTTACTATACCTTGGAAATTGGCCGGGATTTTCCTTTAGAAATCCCTTTAGAAAGAAGAGACGCACGGAATTTCCTAGAAGATTTATTGCCTTCAACTTTGACCAGTTTTGAATGCCAGCCAATATCCAAGGCATTACTGTATTTATATTGCTCAAACAATTAGATCCACCAGATAGACCTATTCGTTTTTACGTAAAAATGAAACTTGTTACTAGAATAAAAAGCTTTATACGTATCTTTAATTCACAAGTTGAATTAATAAATGAAGTTCTTTAAAAGTAGCTCATGACCTGTACATAACTTCATACTTTCTAAGTAGATTTTCACTATAATTATTTGCGCAGGTTTGTAGATGTACATAGAAAATTCAATTTGTATTTGAACTTATTTTCTATATCTCTAATCTTTCTGGAGGTATTCTATTAGAAGGAAAACTATATACTTCTTTAAGCGATGATTCTAACCTTCAAATTATAACATTGCAACGTAAAATGGTTTTAGGTTAAGAATGAACGATTTCACTTGTACATAATAATTCAAAATGTTTTGAATTTTCGTGTTCACGAACGCTTTTTTCCACTCGTAGACATCACAAATGTTGACTAAGACGACCAACCTAATATAATTCCTTCTTTTTCCCCTACAATATCATGTTCCATTCAAAGCGATCCAACTGAATATCTTCGAAACTATTGATGATATGGAATAACCTTACAGACAAAATTTTGATGGTTTGAAGCATCATATATATATGGTCCGCGACGAAAGAATAGCATACTTTGTAAATTTAATAATATTCGTGAAAAAGCGTAGAAATTTGTTGATTTTTACTCGTATATTTCTTCAGTTATTGTTTATTGCTCCTTAAACATTGGCCTTCGACAACAGAGCATAAATATATGTTTTGTTGGCATTTCCGTTCGTAGGAAATGTCCATATAACTGGAGTGAAGCTCAATAGAAGTTCAATAAATCGGACATTGATGAAAATTTCATTTCAATAAATGGAATTCTATCGCATACATCTTTGGAGGAGCCGTTTAAACAGTTTCTATTACGATATAGCTGACTATACATATAAACAAAAGAGTGACAGACGTAATCTATTTTATAAATGTGGGCGACGTGTGAAAAACATATAATTTAACTAATTTTTTATTTGAATAATATTAATAATTTATTTTTAATCAATTTATAAAATTTAAGTAAACAGTCTGTATGAAATGCGGAGACAATCGTCGAGGGATTAATGTTTAAGCGAGAGTCATTGGTTTTTGTTTCAGAACGTTAGAGTATCTTATGCGCCATCTGGTGAGAGTTGCAGCACGTGGCGCGGAGACAGGTATGACGCCGCGTAATGTCGCGATCGTCTGGGCTCCGAATCTTTTGAGGTGCAAGGAACTGGAAGTCGGCGGTGTGGCGGCGTTGCAGGGCGTCGGCGTGCAAGCGGTTGTTACGGAGTTTTTAGTCTGTTACGCGGAATTAATATTTGGTGACGGTCCGGTCGGAAGGCCAAAATCGTTGGCCATCACAACGTCCGCGAGATTGCTCAGTTTGGAGGAAGCTCGGAACAGAAGTCTGAGAGGCGAGCCGGATTACATAGAAGTGGGCGCTGGCCCAGCCGGATTACCATTACATTACCACACGGTCATAGAGCTGCCGCGAAAAAGAAACGGCTCGAAGCGTTCACCCTCGTTGAATTGGAGAGCTTTGTTCAGCAGAGGTGGCTTGGGTGCCAGAGGAAAATCGAGGCAAGTTGGCACGCCACCTCAAACAGAAACGGTGCCAAGTTCCTTAAACTCTTTACGACGGTTAAGACCCGTGAAAAGTGCTGATAGTTTGGACGGCGAGGACAGCCTAGGTCCTCTTCTAGGACCTCCGCCAGCCAGACCATGCGGTCACAGTCGGTCGGTCTCGCACGATTCGTATTTCGATCATTTGGCGGACGCGCCTAATGCTGCGTCGCCCTTGGATCTGTCAGAAATACAGCTCAACTTTGACTTGGAGGAACGTGAAATGCGAATGTTCTCGGAAGAAGAGAGCGGAGGTGTGGCGTCGGTGGAAGCATCTCCACGACGGCAACGAACGGAGGGAACGCAAAACACTACCGCCACCGGTGGATCGAAGAGAAAGAGATCGCGATTAGAAGAAAGACTGCAATGCGATGTGGAGTTGCGCTTCATCGATAGTCAAAGTCCTGACCAGGTAAAATTCTTGTTGCTACCTTCTGTACGAAGTATTTGAAAGTTTGCACAAGTGCGGTGTTCATTAATCCCTCAATGATCAGATATTTTTCGAACTTACAAACCAAAATGTAGCTTTTTTTTTTTGCATAAATTTATGTCCTATAATTTTCTAATTCTGTACAAGTATTTTATGTATTTTTATTCGAGTATTTTAACTAGAATGTATAAAATTATGCATAAAAGATCCTTGTGTAATTGTGTAATACCATAGTGACAATAACAACAACAATAAAAACAACAGAACAGAAAAGTATAGGAAAGAAGATACTATAAGGACAGTTATTAAATTCTGATTACTTGACTAAAGAAACGAATGAGATGACGGCAAAGGTTATAATTATTTTTATTGTTTATTGAGTCCATATGCAAGAAGTAATGTTAATTATTGAGTGTTAATGTTGGTATTGAGAAGTTTATACAATATGAAATCATATAAAATGTTTTGTCTTTTGTTTACTTCACACTATAGAATCATAACAATTCTCTACTCTTTTTTGGTCTTCAAAATAATATTTAGTACAGTGTAAAAAAGGGAGATATATTCTATTTGATAATATACATTTCAATGTTCATTTTAATTTCATTTAAAGAATAAGAATCCAATTCTTGGAGGTTCACTTGAAGTATTCTTTATAAAAGTAAAGTTTGACAAACACTATAACAGAAGCACATCGAACTCATTTTGCCCTAAGAAGCTACGTGATCTTTTTATACCAACTATTTTTATTACGACATTTTGAGTTATCTTTAGAATAAATATAGCTATTATATAATAACATATAAATGTGAAATTAAAATTATTATTATAAATATAATTATTAAAAATACGATAACAGTAAAAATAAGTTAAACATGGATTGATGTATATCTAAAAGCTCTGTAACAAATTATAAAAAATGTATAATGTAATTCGAACATAGATCGATAATACTTGAGGAAAAGAAAACTCTTTTACCAAATACGCATTACACTTATTACTTTTATTATACGAAATATTACACTGACGCGAAGACAGGAGAATGGTGAAAAATGTTAGATAGACCTAATAAAAAACTATAATTATGTAAATATATGCAAGGGAAATGCAAATATATACAATAAAAATACAATGTACATTTATAGGTTACATCATTATATTCGTTCTGAAGACAATGTATGAGTCGAAACATCGTAATAGAAATAGTCGTTTTGGTACTGACAATCAATCGTTAATTATTTTACGACAATCCAAAGTAGTGGTCATTTTTTTTGTTATACCAATATCGAAAGGTGGTTAGGTTAATTGATCTTGATCTCGTAGATGTTTTGTTGTTATTCGTAATTCGAAAAATTCGTCCTTTTCATAGAAAATTTCAAGGCTTCAGTTTACAATAATGACCTTGGTCTTCTTTATATACTTTATTAGCCATATCCAAGCTATTTCTTCGTATATATTCTTTATCACTATTTCTCAATCATTTTCTTTCATTGTTTTTATATTTATTTTCATTGCACGAACGTTTTTTACCTCATATTTATCACTTCCTATATTTATTGTTTCCATCCTGAAGATTGCAAGAAGACTGTTACATGTAGCTAAAGATATCTAGTGTTGTATGTCCTTTTTCTGTTAGATAATTGAATGTTGCTAACGTCATAGAGTTTTTATATGATTCCATCCAATGAGTAATGCATGATTTGACAATAATAGGTTGTGAAATTAATTGAAGACTATACATATAAACAAACTAATAAAGAAGAAAAAAAACGAGATTACTATACATGTGACATGTGCCTGTTTTCCACCGAGTTCCTCAATTGTAAAAAGCTATAATTGTAATATGTATTTTCAAACAAAAAGTTATAGAAAGGTCAAGTACATATGTCACAAAATGTAATAGGTCGGACCACGTGTTTGATATGTCTGCTATAATACAAGAACAAAATACATGCAAAATCTATATTATGAAACCGGTAAACAAATATAATATATTTTTACAGGTGATGGTATCCGCAGACATTCACAGCATGGACACACCATCCCCCTTACCTACGCCAGGGTATCTTCCACTGTTATCAGAAGCTTCGACTCCACTCACACCTGCCACATTACATGGAACCCCGCATTCTGTGTCACCTATACCAGTCAACAGTCCTAGGATAAGTTTCCGAAGTTTCACTTTACCGTTAGAGATCGACGATGAGCAGGGCAACGCGAACAAACTGAATAGAACTAGCGTGTCTTCCGATAAATCATCCGACCCTAGTCATAGATTATCCGTAAACTTAGAAGGACAGAATAACGCTAAATCTTGCGAGAGGATAACGTCGTACGATAAACGCGTAGATTTGTACGACGCTAAGGAATCTTCCAACGCTCAGAAGATTTTAAAGGAATCGAATCTAGTAGTATCGGACGTAGTCGACCAAGAGATGACACTTTGTGATAGGCTAGCGTCTCACCTTAGCGAGACAGACTCCACTAAAATAACATCTCCGTGCAAGGACGCGGACAGATCGAGTTCGTGTCCCGTCGATGAGAGCAAGTCGTCTCGTAGCGACACCAGAGATCCGTTGGACGTACGGAAACACGATGCACCGAACAGCAAGTCCGTTAGTTCGCAAAATGACGACGCCATAGCTGGGAATTCAAACGCACATAGAAACGAATTGTCGGGATTGCCGTTATCCAATGCAACCGATCTCGATTCCCCGATGTCCTATGAACAGACCATTGAAGATCTACCAGACTCTGGTTTTGTGATTTGCGATAGTTCCGACAAGATGTTCACCAATACGGAAACGCCGCAAATGGCTACGAACACCAACGATTCCGGTGAATGGGTGATAGTCGAGAGAACCGGCTCGATCACAACGCCAACGAGCGAATCGAGCAGCCCGAAGGATCCATTGGATGGCACCGTGAATCCGGCGATAGCTACAGACGCGCCACAATTAAGATCGATATCGGAGAACGTATCCAGGACATCGTTGGATCTCACAATGGGCTCGACCGTGGACACAGACACGTCTTGCATCGGCGTCAGTGACTTGACCGAAAGTCCTGTTCTTCCTCAAGAGTCTGGAGAGATGACTTTCGACGTGGCCGATAACAGGGAACTCGGGGAACACGCCATCACCGCGCAAAGGACAGCCGGGTCTTTCGATGGCCAAGCGAATTTCAGGTTGGGCGATTCCGGGAACAATTTCTCGAATATCGTTCACTCGTCCATGCACGACCAGGATAACGGGAATCAGAAGATGTGCACTGTCAGTATAACGGACGTTCGTTTGAATCAGAAGTCTACGGAAATGGATCACGAGGTCACCGCGTATTACAATCAGCTGGATAACGCGAAAACGTTCAACAAGAATGACAGTTCAACGAAGAAAAATTTTGGAAACGAAGAAGCTTTCGACAACTCTCAACGTACCTCGAGGAGTCTAGACTTTCAGCAGCAAGATATCCGACGTTCCTTGCAGTTGCATCGGAAACCGCAGTTCCAGAGTGCCGATTGTCGTTCGTTTACCAACCTGTCGAACAAGTATCAGGATCTCGAGTTATCTCTCGCCAATGCTGACAATAATAAGCAACGTTGTCAAAATCAGAAGCTAGAAAAGTGCCAAAGCTTCGAGTACGTCTCACCAAAAGAACCGGCTAAGAACAACCAACAGCACAAACAACTTCCAACGTGCACCGATGAGAACTCTAAATGCAATAACGTGAAGACCATTCAGCGGCAGGAACAAATCGAGATGGTGATCCCGTCAGAGAATGCGGCGGAACCCAGTGAAATAGCTCATCATCCGGAGGGAGCGTCCGAGACGACGTCATTGGACTCGTCCTGCTCGTTCTCCAACGCGTCCTCACCAGTGGATGATTCGATCGTTCTCCGTGACACGGCAGCCATACTGCAAGAATTAGCGTTGCAAAGATTATCAGGTGGTATGGTGGGCGATCTGTCCATTCCTCCAAGAAGAAGGTACGAAGCGGAAAGTAACAGGGATCGAAGGAGCTTCGACTCTGAGATCGGAAGAGAAATAGTTCGCGAACGAAAGATGCGACAGGAACTGGACACCGCTCGAGGAAAATCCGAGGAACCACCCGTGAACAATGCTCAACATTTGCCACCGTGTTTGAGGGCGCGTCACGCAAGAGCTACTCGAGCGTCGTTGAGTCGATCACTGGACGAGGCCAAGTTTAATAAAATGACCGAGGAGGCATGCTTGCCCGTGAAACAGGCCACGGAGGATGCACAGCACAGCTCCACGCCGAACGTTGGGGCTAGTTCGAACAACTCCAGAAATTCCGATAAGTCTAATCTAAAGAACCTCGGTGGCTTAGACCTGGGTGATCCCCAATGCAGAGAAAGGATAGAAAAGTACAAAGAGGAGAGGAGGACGTTCTTGAGGGACAAGTACAGGTCGGAAAGTTTTCGTGGAATGTTGTCAAAGGCGGAGGACGACGGAGAGCAAGCCCTTTTGACTAGGTTAAAACAAAGAGCCTCTAGGCCCTCCCTTCATTGATATTAACGTAATATTTATGAAATACTCTATCGACTTTTCCGCGTAGATGCCTCTAATGCGTCGCACGATGAATTACATGTATAATTCTAGTAAACTGCTGGCTGCACTAATCACGTTTAACCCTTTGCTCTCAGAATCTCTTTTAAGTTAGGGAAGGACAATAGCGTATGTTTTGTTCAATGTAAAAATACAGTAGTGCATGGTTGAATTTCTACAATTTATCCCTACTCTTGCCTCACCACTCAGCGTGTCTCGAGTTCAGCGAAGTCTGACCCAACAGAAAAGAAAAGAGATTTTTTCAAACTTTTTATTCTCCGTAATTTTCATCTGATCTTTTTTAAAATGATGCATTACAAGAAACTACTTCAAATTAAAACGTTACACGATTCAGTAATATAGTTCCTGTATTTTATTACGTATTAAACTAAAATTGTTTAAAAGGTTTTGTAAACACACATCATTTTATAGACACAAAGGAGAATGATCTTTAATATAATTTAAACTACTTTATTCCTTGATGAAAAAAATCTTTTAACCTCCGCTTCATCTCCGTTTGTTTCTTTAGTAAATAAATCTCTGATTTTCTGCATGTCACAAAAAAAATTTCACTTTTCGTTTCACATATTACTGTATTTTTTAAAATCTGTTTCCAAGTATTTTGAGTATTTTTTTCAGTTATATTTTGTCAACATGTATCCAAAATATTGATACAGTCTTTGATATTGTATTTGTTTTAGAATTCGAAAAATTCAATTTGAATCGGAGATCTAATTTTAATTTAGCGAACATTCCTTGGAACAAGGATTCTAATTTAATTTATGTGTAATGAAGAATAGAAACTTAGTTATTGAATCGTGTAACAGTTTAATTATGAGCAGTCATTGATCAAATAGTTTGATTATGCATCGATACCATGTTTAAAAAGATGACATTAACTATTCCCTTTCTTTGTCAATATTCGGGTTCACTTCTATGAAAATAATCTTGCACACTAAAATTTCTCTATTGAGTTCCGAATTTAATGAAATTTAACCATGTATTACTGTATTTTGTACGAAGAGAACAACAAATGATTCATAACAGTACTTTGTGGTACTGTAGGTGATAGGAAGTCCATTAAGTTTCAGAATGCATACAGGGTGTCTCGTTATTTCTGGTATAACTGAGAAGAGGATGACTTCCAGCATTTATGAATAGGTCGAAAATTGTAGAATAAAGTTTGAAGCCTCATTCTAAAAACTTTTGATCTTGAAAATGTACTACTCAGATTGTAATATAGATGTAAGCCTAACTTCTTTGGGATACATGAAATGTATACAAGTTGGTTGCGCGAAGAATCTGGAGAGAAGGAGATAGCCAAACGAAATAGCGGGGAGTAGATTCTCTATAATCTTGTGCAGTCAATTGATTTTATTCTAACCACAATTCGTTTAGTTTTTTTTTAACGAATTTGTCAATGTTCATGGATCAATTAGGATGAATAGAGCTTTACATTGAGATCCCATTAACCGAAAGTAAGTTTGTTGCACGTTTAGCCCATGACTTTATTTAAACAGATCTATTCAAAAGTACGAATTATAAGGGGAAAAATTTGTTTTCCACTTTCGACGTATTTTTTTTAGCAATAAATCAGCCCCATTTTGATCGAGACACTGTACAAACGTACGATTATCTCAATTGCAAATTTTATAACCCTAGAAAGTTTTACTAACGCATTAAAAAAGGAATGTAACTGTTTGCCATTTTGTTTTTTTTTTTATGTTAAGTATTAGTATACGTATTTAATAATATTTACAATTTTTTTTATAAGAAAAGATTTATTAGAAGGGTCTCAACAAACGCATTAATTTCTCGTGTATTAAATTATTAGAGTGCAAAGGGTTAAAGGATGAAATCCGAGAAAGTTAATCGAATACGAGTGGCATAATAATGATATTAAAAGAATTAAATAAAAAAAAATAAAAAAAAGAAATTAAGGAAAGAAAACGGTCTGCGATCGATGTTTTCCAAACGAGTTCGATCGAAGCTTAAAATCGATGGAGAAAAACGTTCGGTTTGTCGCTGTTGTTAACAGAACAGTTCGATGACTTGAGTGTTCTTAATTTATTGTACATGTATATGTATGTACACGTAATGATGGTTACGTGTATTAGATTATTTCTGTTATTGTTACGAATCTATAAGAATCATTTTCCATTATTGTTATTAATCGCTCCCAAAGATGTCTCATTAGACTTTTGTCGTTTGTCGCGCTGTTCTGTTAATCAACTAATCCAATCGATCGTGATGTACCACATTCGGGTCCACGAAACGAGTTCGTTGTCAAACCCTTTGCACGCGAAATTTTCGTTTCCGTCACCGAAGCCGGTGAGCAAATTGTTTCGAATGTTATTAGGAAAGTTAAGTTTAAAACGAACAAATTTATATGATAATCTGTAATAGTTACAAAAACAAAAACACAAAAAAAAAATATCTTCGAACGATGCATGTATAAGAGATATTATATAGTTTATAAACATTGTAATACGTTCACGTTTTCTACGTTGTGCCGTTCGCTCGAGGAACGACGACTGTAAAACTGTAAATTCTATGAATATTCGTTTTGATCTGGTCTCGACGCGTACCGGGTGCAAAGGGTTCAATATGTATACATATATTGTAACCACGCATGCCTTCGTAATTGATTAACGTAATGATATAGTTGAGTTAAGAAAATCGATACGCTTCCGTTTCCTGTAAATTTCGTTGTTGCTCATCGAACCGAATATTTTTATACGACAAGGCGTTTACCACGGAGAAAATTTGTTCGTTCGATGATTGAAGCGTGTATCCGGAGAATTTTCTCGCTTCTTATCGTGTTTTTTTCTTTTTTTTTTTTTTTTTTTTTTTTTATTATTTTTGTTAGCTCCTTTTTCTCTCTCTTATTTTATTTTTCTCCGTTTCATATGTTTTGCGCGTACGTTTTTCACGCCGATCGCTTGTCACATCTAAGAACATAACACACGTAGTTAGAAATTTTTTAAATATGTTACACCGTTTAACGATTAATATCGAGAAGTTAGAATACTCGTTACTGTTCGTGTTCATTTTTCTCCTACTTTGCTATTAATCTTTTTGTTTATTATAAACGTTCTTGAATGTTTCACGAGTTCTCGTTTCTGTGCCTTGCGCGCCGCTCGGATACGAAAATTATTTTCATTTTATAATTTACCGTATTATTCGTAATATTCGGTAACACGCGTCGATATATTATCTTTCTTACCGTGGACTGGTCTGCGGCAATCTATACTGCGTCTTCTGTATATGCTAATTATTATTTAGTCGATATGTAATATATTAATTTATGTATTTTAGTTTGGTTATCGACGAGAAGAAAAACCTTGCTCGAAATCAAGATTACTATCGGAAAAGATTGGTTTGTTTAATTACTCAAATGGCAGTAGTCGCGCGTACTTTAGATTTCAATTGACGTAGAGAGTTCTATCGTGTCGCAAGATATGTAAACATCTTAATTTATACACTTTTTTTTACACGTATTATTTACACTCGTATAATTATAGTTTCATTAACGAAGAAGCACCGTTCTAGCAAGCAACAATTTTTCGTTTAAAATGGCTCTTCTGTCCCGATATTTAGTTACTACTTAAATTGCGCATTTTAGTTGTTTTGTTAATTTTGCGAAGCGTTAATACAAACAGCGACACGAACTGCTGCGTAACATTATTCCTGAATCCATCGTCGGTGAGATTTGTCGTGAAAATCGACAACATTCCAATCGTTCTGAAAATTGGATCATTTTCCAAGTCACGGACCTCGGTCTCCACGTTTCCCCGTTAGCGGAATGCGCGTCAATCAAAACGAAATCAGGAGCACCGAATTCTGTGATAGCATTTATATAACTCCATAACGAACCAATTAACAGTATCTATCTCACAATCTAATAAACCGCCAGTGTATTGTACATTACGATCTCCGACGAATCGAAGCACGAGACTCGGAGGATCATACGTTTGTAATTCTGATAATGCTCAAAAACGAAGAAAAAAAAAGAAAAGAAACATTTGCAAGAAGCTGTCGTACGAGGGTAGCGAAGTTGCGCGAGACCTTTTAACCCATTGAATTACACGAAGTTCGTATAAAGGGTGATCAAAGACACGCGACGAAGAATTTCAGGGTGCATAGTGTTTATAAAAATAGAAATAATTATATATGCTTTTTTTAATTACAGTCAAATCTTGTGTTTCCAAAAAGATCATCAGAAATTGAATATTTGTGACACTTTTATGTGGTTACATGACAATACAAAATTGTAAAATGCCATCGTCTGCGAACTACGACAAAAAAATTCCACCTCCCAGTAACCTCATCCATTTTTACAGCGAAAGCCTGGGCAGTTCTTGAAGCTCTTAATCACATACGAAACCACATTTTCATCGACTCAATGAGTGCACTCATGGCAATAGCAGATGTAAATCGCGAAATCAAAGATGAAGTCATTCTAAACATCCATTATATCTGTACGGATCTCATCAATAACGGTAAACAAATAACCCTAGCCTGGGTTCCATCTCACCAAGGCATCAAAGGAAACTAGGCAGCCGACACAGCCGCCAAAGAAGCAACAGCATTTCTATTAGATAATATCGGCAGACAAGTCCCACACACCAAGACCTCATCGTCGCATTACGCCATATCGAACAACAAACATGGAATAAAATATGGACCACATCTAAGGAAATAAAAACACACGACGTTACCCAAGACTTATTCCAAACAATGCCTAGCAACAATATGAGAAGGAAAGACAGGATAATCATGGCCAGGCTTAGAACTGGTCACTGCAAACTCACACATGAATACCTAATTAAGAAAACAGAACCACCAATGTGCACTGTTTGCACGAAAATCATTACAACCAACCACTATTCGAATGCAGAAGATACAACACCCAAAGACAGAAATATAAAATAACATCGACGGAAGTTCTGACGACAAAGAAACACATAGAAAGTACCCTAAACTACCTAAAGGACATCAACATTTACCACTGCATATGATCGGACAGAAAAGAAGGAAACAGGTCCTAATCGTCGCTAATGACCCGTAAGTCGATGCGACGTAAAACCCGAATTAAAAAAAAAAAGAAAAAAATTGTAGAATCAAGAATACAAAAGGTAATAAAAGAATTGAACTTGAGTATAGTTGGATTCCTCTACTATGAATTATTTTGATTTCAACTGGCATTGATAATTTTGTAGATACAGAAAGTGGTGAATAGTCCACTGAAGTGTACCATAAAAGCCCTGAAATTCTTCGTACCTGTTTTTCTAACGCTCTGCATACGCTACAACATCAACCATTAGTGATCTAATATTTTGTGTATTTTTTTATGCTACAATAACGACGTAGTGTACAACATAATCGTTTCTCTGTAAACCAAAAGAGCAAAACGCAACGACCAAGCACAGATACTTTACTCGAAGTCTTAAAAATACTCGAAGCTATTAGTTACATTTCTATTTAAATGTTTAACCGA